GCCAGGAAAGTTATTTGAAAATCCTTGGCATAAATGCATGACAATGTTACAGTTTTGAAACTAATGTAAACCTTCAAAATCTTCTTATGAGCTTAAGTACCTTCAAACTATTTTAGTGACCTTAACCTTAGACGTAGGAACATGGGTCTTACACACAACATGTCATCTTGATGTGGTAGACATTTATGTGTAGTTATTGACTATAAACTCTAATTGTTATAGCGTGAACCTTCAAAATATAAGTGTGACCATGACCTTTGAAGAAGGAACATGGTTCTTGGATGCCACACAACACTGTCATGTGATACACATTTATTTCAAAATCCTTCCATACATGACAAAGTTACAGTCCGGAAATTAATGTATATCTTCTCAAGAGAATGAGTACATTCAAACTAAAAGTGTGGCCTTGACCTAGAAGGTAGGGGAATTGGTGTTGGAGGTGACGCATCATCTTGATGTGGTAGACATTTATGTTACGTTATACAAAATTCTTCTATGCAAGAGAAAGTTACAGTCCGAACACAAATGTGAGTACCTATAAACTCTAAATGTGATAAAGTGAAACTTCAAAATGTAAGTGTGACCTTGACCTTTGAGGTAGGGACGTGATTCTTGAACAGTACCTACCATCTGAATGCATTGAATTGAATTCCAACCATTAGTTTTCAACTTATGCACTGGACAACAAAAAGTAGTGAAGGGCAATAACTCTGTGATTAGTAAACATGGATTTATGGTTCTTGTGCACTGCATTTTCTCTTATTGTATTTGACCATTGTATGAAGTTGTTTTGAATTCTGACCAGTTCTTTTCAACTTATGCTCCCAACAAAGAAAAGTATCAAAGGGCAATAACTCTGTAATTATTCAAGATGGCGTTATGGATCTTGTGCATTGCACTTCCTCTCAATATGCTTGACCATTGTATGAAGTTGTATTGAATTCAAGTTTTCAAGTTATGCCCCGGACAAGAAAGAGGCAATGGAAAGGGCAATAACTCTGTATTTACTTTAGATAGAATTACTGCATTTCCTCTTATTGTGCTTCAATATTGTATGAACTTGTTTTGAATTCCAACCAGTTGTTTTCAAGTTATGCTCCCGACAAGGATAATGCAACGGACCGCCTGACCTACTGACCGACCACTGGGTGACTTTTATATACCCCCCAAACTTGGTTTCTTGGGGTATAATAATTAAACAGCCAAAACTAGGACAAAAATCTTGAACCCAAAAAATCCCATAATATGCACAACTAGGAGTATCACTGAACTTAAAAGAAGCTGATGATACGCACAACTAGACTTGGTAATGATCATTCATTTAATGTTTGGATCAAACTGCACTAGTAGTTTCTGAGATACTGTGAAGCTGGCAACACAAAAAATGCTTCCTAGAACCGTTAGTGGAGACAAATTTTTATGTGTCTTTCAAAATGATGGCGTTTTCGCGGAGATAAACTTTCGCGCAATCATAGTGACCACGAATTTCGCAAATATTAAGTCACTGGGGGTACAGAGCATAATTTAATATATTACTAATATCACAATTAGGTTTTGGTATTTGTCCACTCTTTATCTGTCAAGACTAAAAGCATGTGATATTGACAAAATCTTTAAATTTTACTTGTAAACAATCTATAATAAGTTTAAGATACAAAATAGCATTCCATTTTGATGTAATTTTTGGATACCAGAAAAATAAAAATGCAATCAGATGACAAATAGTGTTATTTGCATTTAAAAACTTAATGTCGAATTAAATAAAACCTTACTATCTGAAAACAAATTTATTGTTATAAATAAAAATTTTTAACTGTTAAAGATAAGTTGAAAACATTTATATATTTTGGTATTATTGTACTTGTAATAAACAAAAACACTTTTATTTTTAGCGAGTAATATTACTTTTAGTCAAAGTATTATGCAAACTGTAAATAACATTCATTATATATTTCCATTTAACCTGTAAATAATTGTTACGGAACTTTTAAGTTGAAATGTTTAATCAGTTAAGCAAAGGTTATGTTTACTTTATCAGAGTACTTAATAATGAAATTATGAAAATCTATGTGGTTGGAGCTACAAATGTTGGCGGATTCGTTACATGCAATTTTTTTTGTGGATACAAACAAATTTTGAGGAAATGTATTCACAAGAAAAGTGCTAACTTAATAAGCGCGAAATAATTTCTAGGAATACAGTACAACATTTTATTCAAGGGAATAACTTGGCCAAAAACCATTCAACTAAAAAAAACCTGTAATATGCGTAAAGCACTTAAGCAACAGATAAATCCTGAAAAGTTTCATTTGAATTTCTTTAATGATATAAGAGAGCTAGTATGGACACACTTTTAAAATAAAAATCATTTAAGAACCATAACTCTAACAACAAGAACGTGATTGTTAAACACAAATGCCCCCAACTCTGATTCTTGTCAGCAGCAATATTTCAAAAAATGTTTACCCATTCACTCAGTTATGGACAGAATCATTGCCAAAAAAAATGTAAACACAAGTTATATACCTTGACAGAGTCATGGCATTTTGTAATAGTGAAATATATAAGTTTCCAAGTCATTGTTATGACTTGTGAAGTGATAAATATTCAACTTTATCAAATATATATAAATGTAAGAAATCACCCTTGACCTTGACCCACTGACACCTATATAATATCAAGTTATCTTCCTTCCAAATATGAAATACACCTGTCAATAAATAAAGGCTGTATGGGCAAAAATGTTAAAATCTATTTTGAGCATTAATGATCTTGATCAAACTGACCCCTAACTCAATCCAAAGGAAGAATACCATGCAAGTTATCTTCCAACCAAATATGAAATACACCTGTCAATAAATAAAGGCTGTATGGGCAAAAATGTTAAAATCTATTTTGAGCATTAATGATCTTGATCAAACTGACCCCTAACTCAATCCAAAGGAAGAATACCATGCAAGTTATCTTCCAACCAAATATGAAATACACCTGTCAATAAATAAAGGCTGTATGGGCAAAAATGTTAAAATTTATTTTGAGCATTAATGATCTTGATCAAACTGACCCCTAACTCAATCCAAAGGAAGAATACCATGCAAGTTATCTTCCAACCAAATATGAAATAAATCTGTCAATAAATAAAGGCTGTATGGGCAAAAGTGTAAAAATATATTTTTAACACTTGTGACCTTGACCCAACTGATCCCTAACTCCATCCAAAGTAAGAATAACATGCAAGTTATCTACCTACCAAATATGAAATATATCTGTCAATAAATAAAGGCTGTATGGGCAAAGTGTAAAAATCTATTTTTAGCACTAGTGACCTTGACACACTGATCCCTAACTCAATCAAAAGGAAGAATACCATGCAAGTTATCTTCCTATGAAATATATCTGTCAATAAATAAAGGCTGTATGAGCAAAAGTGTAAAGTGGTGACCTTGACCCAACTGACCACTAACTCCATCAAATTTTATGTTCCTATCAATTATAAATGACATCTGTCTATAGAATATGGTTAATACATCTGTAAAAATGTAAACATCTATTTTTAACATTGGTGACCTTGACATTGGTGACATTGACCTTGACCCAAATGACCCCTTACTATACCCAAAGAAGGAGGACCTCCCTTGGCATGTTTGTATTAAACATGAAATACATCAACCAAACAAGAGCACTGCTAGGCGGAGCATTATATGCCCGGAAGGTTTTTTTAATCTAGTTAGGATGAAGCACTTGTAAGACATTACATAAATTAAATAAAGTATTACCTCATTCAAATAGCAATCCTCCTTAAAAGTTTGAATATTGAGGGCCAAATGTAACTTAAGTTATGCTCTGGAAACTGTTTTCAGTTTTGAGGTAATAGCGACCTTGAATTTTGACCTTGTGACCCCAAAATCAATAGGGGTGTTCTACCCAATATGGACAATCATCCTATGAAGTTTCAACACTATGGGCTAAATAGAAATTAAGTTATGTTCTGGAAACTGTTTTAAGTTTTTTAAATAATAGTGACCTTGACCTTTGACTTTGTAAAACCGAAAATCAATAGGGGTATTCTACCCAATATGGACAATCATCCTATGAAGTTTGAATATTGTGGGCCAAAAAGACCTTAGTTTATGCTCTGGAAACTGTTTTTAGTTTTATTGTAATAGTGACCTTGACCTTTGACCTTCTGAACCCTAAATCAATAGGGGTCTTAATATTGTGGGACAAATAGATCTTAAGTAATGCTCCGGAAACTGTTTTCAGTTTTATAGTAAAAGTGACCTTGACCTTTGACCTTGTAACCCCAAAATCATTAGGTGTCTTCTATTAAATATCGACAATCATCCTATGAAGTTTGAACACTGTGGGCCAATTGGAACTTAAGTTATGCTCCGGAAACTGTTTTCAGTTTTAAGGTAATAGTGACCTTGACCTTTGACCTTGTGACCCCAAAATCAATAGGGGTCTTCTACCTTATATGGACAATCATCCTATGAAGTTTGAATATTGTGGGCTAAATGGAACTTAAGTTATGCTCCGGAAACCAAATTGCTAACGGACAGACAGACGGATGGACGCAAGGGGATATAACATAATATGCCCGAAATTATTTTGGGGATATAAAAATAAAGGCTGTATAAGCAAAATGTTTAAATTTATTTTCTAAACCAGTGACCATGACCTTGACCCTAGAGACCACTTACTCCACAAAAATTAGAGGACCATGAAAGGTATCCACCTACCAAATATGCAAGATATCATTAAATAAATTAAGCAATTAAGAGAAATTTACGATAAATCCAACTTGCCATAATAGTTAACCAGTCAAGGCCCTATTTTCAAAGTGAAAAAAGGGAAATAACTGGGAAATATGGATGACACAGTTATAGAACTTGGCAATATCATGTACTTTGTATTGATAAGTAAGCGTGGAAATTATGAAGCCATAGAATGATAGAAGTCTTAAGATATTTCCAACTTGCCATATTTCTTTTATTTATGTTCTTTTGTTTAATAGAGGGCCAATGGCTCATTACTCTAATGTTATGAACTCTATTGTTCTCTTTTGCTCTGTTTACAGTTAGATGGCCCCCTATCCCTTTTTGGCCGTGAGGACAGACATATGGACGGACAACAGACAAACAACAGAAAAGTGATCCCTCTATGTCGCGAAAACTCTGTAGAGGCGACACAAAAATCAGTCAGACAAAAATTAACAAACTACCTTCAACATTTTTACAAATTAAAATAGCTGTATTGCAGCCATTCTGATAAATCAACTTTGGAAATATTATTGGCAATTCTAGCTCCACAAGTTTCAGTATCAGGGATTCTTTGGTTTCACTCATTGGAATGTTTTTCATTTCCACATAACATTCCAATTCCTTTATCCTTTCCAGTTCAGGACTCCTAAAAAAAAGAAAAATAATATGGCTAGAACACAGGGGGTTAACAGGAGTCTTGTAGAAGCAACACATGCTGTAACAAATATGTAAATGGCATGCTTTCACAGCTCATGTTGCATAAACATTTTACAATAATAAACTCTCAAAATGACATTGAAAATGATAGAAGGGTTTAACTTTGTAAAAATGATCATCAAATCAGAACATGCTGTTAGTATGAAAACACCTATATAGTGTAACAAATTTATGTTAGTGGTTAAAAAGAAATAATAAAACAAGAGACCCCTCTCAGGCAGGGCAAAACAGTCTCTAGAAGTTCTCCATGGAAATCAGTAATGTTACTGAAAATTTGCTACAAAGGGGAATAAATATATTGATAATAAGTTGATAAATCTATCATAACCTGTGCTTCAATATAACATACTTGTATGCCAAATACAGTCACTGAAATCAATCAAAGGTTATTCTGGAGAAAACAAAAACCTTCTTAAATTAAGTGTTTAAAAAACAGCATAACTTTATAAATAATGAATTAATTGCTGCAAAAATCAAACCTCAGCCAGGCCTGTGTTTTGATACATACTTTAAATTAATTGACATTCAAGTTTTTTTATGCTAAAACCAATAAGCTTCTGATAGACATGGAGTAAAATTGTTAAAGGGGACGTTTCTTTTATACTTTTTTTATTTAATAGAGGGCTTTTGGCATCTTATTCTTTTGCTACAAAATAAACTAGATTATTCTCTTGTGTTCTTTTTTCAGTAAGATGGCCAATTGTTTACTTTCTGTAAAGCACTGAGACGGACTGAAGAACAAAGCCACATCACATTAGTTCTAAAGGTCCTCAGGCATGTATACAAATAATCAAACCAGAACATGCTAATAATATGATAAGAATACAAATTTCATGTTGAACAATGAGAATATAAATAAGAGAGCCACGATGACGCTATATTTCTCAATTAGAGATGATCATAATTCTTCAACAATTGGGCTACATTATGACATATCTTTTTTATTCAAACAGCATGATTTAAAAAACTTTTAATTTGTAAAAAAGTTTTTTTTCTATTTCAATACTCACCGCATATATGTAGAACTAGACTGCATCTCTGAAGAAAATATAAATTTAAGTGAAACAGTACAAATTATTTAAAAGAACACTTTCTGTAAATGCAAAATATAATCTATTTGATAAAAGAAGTTATATATGCAATTTTTCCATGATTTGGGTTAGCAAAAAACATTATGTCCAAATTATTTGTAAACCTTTCTGGCCACTCCCAGGAGCATGGACCAAAGAGGGAGAAATAGCTATGTCTATATTTTCATACTGTCATTGTGCTACTGTACGACTGTGTTGATTCTTTTTTACCACACTAAACACAGCAGAGAATATAACATAACCTGCAATGCATCAATGGGCCAAACTGACTTGGCTTTTACCAAGCGGTTGCCTCTCAATGCATGTAACTTTGCTATAAGGAAGATGTCTGATTGATTGTTAAAAATGACTAGTGAATTTATTATAGTATTCTAAAATATATGATAGGTTTTGTCTTAATGGGCATATCAAACTTGTTGTAAAAACAAATACAATTTTTAAATCACAATTTTACTCTTTTAATAATTTTAAAACAATCTTTTTTTTTATTTTACTCTATTTATAATTTCAAAAAAATAATTTTCTTGAAATTATTAATTAATACAAAATTTACATCTCCAAGCAAAAGACTCTATTGCATGTAAAATATTGGCATAAATTTGCAAGTTATTTTCTTCTTTATAAAAACGAGTATGTGAAAAACCTCAGCATTACAACATTTAAAATCATATTTATCCTTTCCAGAAAAAAACATGATAAAAATATGAAATTATTGATATATTCATAATATTCCTAAATTGTATTCTTTCTTTTCTGTATTTTGAATTATTCTTTAACATTTAAGTAAAATATTTCTGGTATCATTTTTTTGTTGTGTAAATACCTCTGTGATCTGGTCCTCTCTCCATGAACATAGCACCCGGAACATTTAACAAAGTTGGTTTAGGAATAGCATCTACCTGATCTACTTGCGGCATGTGTAGCTGAAAGTAATGTTATCATTCTCTCAAGCAGGGATGAAATGAATTATCTCGACACAAAATAGAACATTGCTTCAATTTTTCATAACAAATCATAACTGCATATATACATGTACATTGCTAATTAAGATGAGGTTCTAACAACTTTTAGTTTAATTGTTTATGTAAAGTAGCTATAACAAATATTAATTAGAACTATCACAAAATGTGATTTACATCCCCCGCAAGACTGCTTCGGAAATGGAATTTACTAGTAACAGAATACCTTGTAAAAGACTTGAAAAAAGTTTTAAGATTGTTGGCAATTAAAGATAGCTGTGGTTCTTGTACATTGCATTTTCTTTCACTTTGGTTGACCATTGATTCAGTTTTATTGAGTAACTCTGTAATAAGTCTAGATAGTGTTACGGTTATTGTACACTGCACTTCCTCTAATTGCGCTTCACCATTGTATAAAGTTCTATTGAATTGCAAGTACAAGATTTCAAGTTATGCACTGGACAAACAAAAGTATGTCAACATGGCCATCCCCGCCAAATGGGTTTCTCTATTGGAATGTATATGAAATTAATACTGATGGTTGAAGTGATTACAGATTTGAAACCTATGTGAATACTGATGGCTGAAAGCAACAAATGGCAATAAATGAAAAACAAGAGCCATGTTAACATGGCCATCCACCTCCAATCAGAAAATACTTTTTGAGATACGCTCCGGCACAAAAAGTATAAAAAAATAACAAAGGGCAATAACTCAAAAAGTATAAAGGGTAGAGTTATCATGGCTGCGCACAACATTCCTCCTCAATAAGATAAATCCCCCTATCAAGTTTCATGTTGACATCTCAAACACTTTTTGAGTTATGCTCCACTCAGGTGAAAAATTAAGTATGAAAAATAACAAAGGGTAATAACTAAACAATTATGAAGGGTAGAGTTATCATTCTTGTGCACTGCACACCTCCTGGGTGAGATGTATCTACCTGTGAAGTTTCATGTTGATATCTCAAAGGCATTTTTAGTTATGCTCTAGACAAAAATTAAGCATGAAAAATAACAAAGGCCAATAACTGAAAAATAATGCAGGGTAGGTTATCATTATTGTTTACTGCCCTCCTCCTCAATGAGATCTTTCCACCTATGAAGTTTCAAGTCGATACCTCAAATACTTTTTGAGATATTGACCTAGTGACCAAAAAATCAATGAGGGTTAATTACATGGTCATGACTAGTCACTAAGTAATTGTGACCGCAAATCATTAGGGGTCATCTACTGGCCAAGACCAATGCACCTTCACAATTTGAGGGCCAAAAGCCCATATCTTGTCAATATATTGATAAGAAACCTTTTTAACTACAAGGTTAATCAAACCCTGATCATTGTCCCCTTGACCCCAAAATCATTAGGGTCATCTGCTGGTCATGAACAATCATCATACCAAATTTAAAGTTCCTAGGTCAAGCGTTCTTTAGTTATTGATTGGAAACTTTTTTTACCGACAATGTAAATGTGAACTTGACCTTTGACCCCAAAATCAATAGGGGTCATCTGCTGGTCATGAACAATCATCAAAGCAAGTTTGAAGTTCCTAAGCCTAAGCGTTCTTTAATTACTGATGAGAAACTGTTTTTACCTACAAGGTCAATGTGACCTTGACCTTTGACCCCTTGACCCCAAAATCATTAAGGGTCATCTGCTGGTCATGAACAATCATCATACCAATTTTGAAGTTCTTAGGCCTAAGCGTTCTTTAGTTATCACTTGGGAACCATTTGGTCTATGGACTAACAGACCGACGGACCGACAGACAAATGCAAAGCAATATACCTCACTTCTTTGAAGGGGGGCATAATTAGTAATTAGTCCAAATAGAGTTATGGTTATTGAGCACTTCACTTCCCCTTATTGTGCTTGATCATTGTATGAAGTTGCATAGATTTCAAACCATTACTTTTCAATTCATGCACTGGAAAAAAAGGAATGACAGGCAATAACTCTGTGATGAGTCAAGATGGAGTTATGGTTATCATGCACTTCAATTTCTCTTATTGTGCTTGACAATTGTATTAAGTTGTTTTGAATTCCAATTAGTGGTTTTCAAGTTATGCTCTGGACAAGAAAAAGCAATGTAAAAGTAACAAACGGTAATAACTCTGTACTTAGTCCAAATGGAATTATGCTTCTTAAGCACTGCAATTCCTTTTATTTTGCTTGAGCATTGTATGAAGTTGTTTTGAATTTCAAACAGTACTTTTAAAGTTATGCTCCGGACAAGGAAAAGTATCAAAGGGCAATAACTCTGTAATTAGTCAAAATGAAGTTATGGTTACTGTGCACTTCACTTCCTCTCAACGTGCTTGACCATACTAAGATGTTGTTTTGAATTCCAACTAGTGGTTTTCAAGTTACGCTCCGAACTAGAAAAAGTAACAAAGGGCAATTACTCTATTTAGTCAAGATGGATTTATGGGTCTTGTGCACTGCACTTCTTCTAAATGTGTTTGATTATTGTATGAAGTTGTACTGAATTCCAACCATTAGTCTTCAAGTTATGCTCCAGACAAGGAAAATGCAATTGACCGCTGGACCGACTGACCACCGGGTGACTCCTATATACCCCCCAAACATGGTTTCGGGTGTTTAAATATCCAAAATTTTTGTTTGTGGCACTTTTAATTCTTTGAATTTTGTCTTTTTCTGTTGTTTAAGATGATGTTTTTAAGCCAGTGCAAGGAAGCTTGGACTTTAGCTCGCATTTACCAGTAATCGTCATGCTGAATCAAACTTAAAACTTCCATTACAGTCTCAATTCCGATGCGTTTGATCATCTTTAATTAAGTTACTTATTTCTACAACTGTACAGAAATCAAACAACATAATTCTTACCTCAATTATTATAACTTCCTTTTGCTTTCTTAAATAATCAACTGCTGCATCAAGGCTGCTTTTGGTACCAACAACAGTAATTACAACATTCTCTGTTTTAGGCTGAACTGGTTTTGCAGTCTGTGCTGTAATGTAAATATTTTATGCAAATTATTTTTCAGTGACAGAAAAAGCCTAGAGGAAATCAGTGGCACCTTAAAATTGATTAGTGCCCTGAACATGACGAACAGCACATCTAATGTCATGGTCATTGTAAATGCCATCTGAAGTCATAAGTTTAACCTATATTTTTATTTTCAGATTCATTAAATTTTGCTTTTATTAAATGAATACAGTGCTATCTATTATTAGTATCTAAGAATGAAGTAAAGTGGTTTAGAACATGTTACTTAAAAATAATTTCAATTTCTAGCAAATTGCAAGGTCTTTCTAAACTGACTGACTCATGTTTAGTTACTAGTATGATTTTATAGAACCACAAACAAATCACTTTTACTAGGTTTAATATTTAGTGTAAAGTTCCAATTTGGCTTAAATTCAAAGTTCAAGGGGGAATAATTCTCGAAGTAGTAACGCTAAAGAAATAATATCGATCTTATCGGTTTTTATTAGCTATTTAACACCGGTTTGGAGTTTTGATGCATAGGAATTGACCACGAAGGCCAAAGAACATATATTTGAAGTTTGAAGCTTATACTTTAAGTATTTTACTGCACCAAAACTTTAATCTGAAATCTGGACGCGGATGCCGGGGCAAGGAGGACAGCTCTCCGTATACTTTGTATAGTTCACCTGAAAATGATTATCAAATTAATTGGCATTTGTTTTTCAGGTGTAATTAATGTCCATCATGTTCTTTAAAAGTTTTGTACACTATCAATTATGACCTTTATTTATGTTTCTAATTTAAACAGAGTCAAACTTAAAATTTCATGAACTTGAAAGTGCAGTAAGAGAATGTATCGTACCTAAAATATGAAATCAAAATAAAAAGTAAATGCGAAACAGTCCTATCTGGCAATTTATACTCCATCTCTTACTGAATAAATAGAAATGCCAAAATATAAATCTATCTTAAATTAAATAAGAAAAAATACTTGCTTTTGTTCTATCAAAATGTCACGTGGAACCTTTTCGCTTTGAACATAAAAATCAAAATATGAGAAATTTTAAGTGCGAAACAGTTCTAAGTTGCATTTGATTAAATATCTTGTTTGCCAAGTCTTTCCTAGAATTTTTATTACCATTGACATTTTTATGTGTAAAATCAAGGTGTTGTGGAATTTTGCTATTTTACAAACATTTGAGACAGTTTTTTGCTTCTCCTGTAAAATTTTGGAAAATGCACTTAGAACCTTTTCACTTTCACCCCTCGATATGCCTTAAATGTCCTTTATAGCTTATTTGGTGTTTTAAAAGTTCACATGCCAAATATTGTTTGGCTAACTCTGGTCAGTATCACTTAAGGATGACTCCTTTTACAGCAAATAAAATATATTTAAATATTTCAAAGCTCATTTTAAATTCAACTCTGCAGGTCATCTTATTCAGCAGAGCAGAGAAGTTTTACCAATACTTTACAGTACTACTAAAGCTTTAATCAATTACTCTTACGGAATTTCATATTAATCTAAAAGTATGCAATTAAAGAAAATATATAGTATCATTTAACGTTATTTCATATAAATCTAAGAAGTATGTACCTTTGAAGAATGATGAGATACATTATTCTGGTCACGTTGAAGCTTATATAAAGACCATTCACATGGATATTTTTATACATATATCTAGCACTATTCTGCGGTAAACCATATCCAATATATGGCTAATACACACTATTTCACAAATGATTGTAGACGAATATCTTTATAACAAAGCACTCGTGGACGGGAGAAATCACTAATCACAAAGTAGAATAATACGAATTAATGGTTTCGAGCGATCTATGCAGCTAATAAACCCATTGTTATTTTTTCATCATCGCAATATTCATCTAACATAAAAATGGGTAGAGTGAAATGAGAAGACACTATTAACAAAGCAGTCCTATAAAAGGCAGATTATACAGTAGCGATTTACATTATGAGAGAGCAAATATTGACCACACATTCCTCAATCACTTAGAATATATAGATGGGATAGTCTATATATCACATCTACCATCTTATGTATTTGATCAAAACACAATCGCGTTATGAATTCCAGATATACCACTTGTCGTAAAGAGAATATATTCCTTAGAGAGTTAATTAACAAATGTAATTACATAAGTATCAGCTAGTAATGTCGGTAATATCACCATGGGTTGGAAGGAATGAATTGACTACTGGCACTAACCAGAGGATAGTAAAGTGAATAGAAATCTATGGAGAGCATACAATTACAACTCCTAATGGAACAGGAGAGATTTCACAGGTTTTTTAAGGTTCTCTAGGATCTATTATGTAGAGTCTATCACTTCAAAATTAGGCATAGAGGTCATCCGAAGAACCATGTACAAATACATAGATATCATTATCCATATTGACCTGATGAAAAAGATATTGTTGGAAATTGCATATGTACAAGAGATAGGTAATTGAATACACAGAATGAATAGACATATACACGTCACCCTGATATCCCGCAAGAGATTAGGGGACTTCATCCTTTTACACGTCTCAACGAACGTAACACTTGACTATAGAAGAAATTATTGGTGGCAACAACCAATACATACTGACAACTTCACAATGGGCTAGAGGTAAGAGAGAAGAAGTAAAAGTAAGCTCTTCCTGACAACAGACCTAAAAGCTAATTTAAGTCATTAGAAGGTATAATCACTTGTCTCTCAATAAATGAGACTCTGAAAAGGTTAATACTACACCACACACTCACTTGAGGTATAAAAATAGTAGGTCAGGGCGTGCAGTATCCTTAACCAAACATGAGATAAACAAATACGATGAATACTATATTAAAAAAAAGGTACAATTATCACACAAAATTGCAGTTATTGTTAGAGCATATATTGACCATGTACTATCGATGGGTCATGCCGGATTACCTATTACAAACGAAATTTGAAAGAGCATATACCATAGACTGGAAAGAATACCTCTATACTTACTACTAAATATTTGCGATGAAACTTTAATCTCTTGAGAGGACCTCTGTGATTACATAACGATCTTCACAAGTTCACAATGACACACTATTAATAGTCAGCCCCGTTTCACAGAGCCTGATGCTCTTAACTACTAGATAAACATCAATCATTAAAATATATTGAGTAAAACATAGTCAGTAAATTTACAACCAAACGAAGTTAGCGAATACAGAGAATGTGAGTTATATGAAGTATGACCCAATTTCAACACTCCTATGTAAACATCATTTATGTATTCGTGCCAGCAGCGGGAGCGAGAGGTGAACACTATCTCAGCTGGCGTCTATAGTGAGAAAGCGTCAACCATAGCTCAACAAACTTGTTCACGACCTACACACTAGATCTTTCATAATATACGAATCTAATGTATAGATGTTCAATACAATTATCTCATAACGTACTGTACCACACTTAGATATTTGTGCCACATAATACTGGGAAGCGCACAACACTATTCGTCTGGCTCTCTTCACAAAGACCGTATCTCATGCAAGTAAGATAAAGTAAAGAAAAATCGTACTAGGTCCAGCAGGTCAGCGACATCTAGTATCAAATCTCAGTCTTGTCGATAATTTCTAGAAGCAACATCGTAACCAGAAACTCAGATTAAATGATCTCTCACTCTTTATCTGTCAACACACAGGTCGACGCATATTCCCATTCACTATCTTGCGACTGATAATTGCTAACCAACGGCACAGTAGCTAATTAAGTATGATGAAGAGAATGCGAAGTACGTTGACATACATATCACAGGATCCCCATTAAACATATAGGAATCCCCAGTCATGAATGACATATATAATAAACGTCGCTAATAAAAAGTTGTATCAATTATCTAATCGCTTTTAAATTAATTTCACAAAAAACACAGTATTTGATATCATGTTGTAAGTACAAAACTATAAAAAAAATTATGATCGCTAAAAACAGATTATTGTACTAATTCTTTTTGTCTCGACATTAAAATGATTTCCTTCAATGGTCTTATCCAATATAACTTGTGACATCTATCACTGTAAAAGATTGAGTCAAAGTCAACGATCACTTTCTGAACAGCTACTACACACTTACCACACACGAGAAGACTTTACACACATCACTAACAACATCACAATATTCGATGATTTATTTACCGAGAATAAATGTACAATTATGCATCGCTAATATCTAACACCAGAGTGCGCTAGTATGACTCTATATTGCGCGGGTAGTTCATACTCAAATCCAGCTCAAACTAAAAAAACGTAACCAATAGGGAATATATAAAATACTTTTGAATAACCTGCTCTACAGACATCGTGGTTGAATGAAGAATCGTAGCACAGAGACTTGTACCATAAATTAAGATCTAATCACTCGAGTACTATTTAGCATCGCCATCACATTTACACACGGGCACAGTGTGTCCACATGAGAGCCGGTGCAGATATCACATGTCACAATCAAAAAATGTATTATTGCAGTCAAATTATCGGAGTACCTGGAGCTAAAATAAATCTATTGGAGTTACTGCTTTCACAGTACAAAAACACTTAAATTTATTTCAACGATAAAGAATTTCGAATCGTGTGAACATAATATCACACTTGGAATGGATGTACATAGTTTGTAATTAAAAATGTATTCGGCTGATTAAAGTTTAACAAGATTATCTTTGTCGGATATTAAGGCTAACTAAAACTATTTTTGTAATCAAGAATAACAGATAAGATCCCACACAATGTTAAGCGAACCTGGCACGAACAATGCCTGTTTTGAATAAAAACCACGAACACAGATGAGCCACACAAATATATAAGAAATGAAATTCTTGCTACTACGTGAAAAATATGAAGACTAGGCAAGACGAATAACCATGAACAAAATCGCTAACTTTGTGAGCGACTGAGGTTGAGTGAGTGACATTGCACAATTAAACGTATCTAATCACAATCTATTGGCATCATCACCTTATATTTTCCTTATATTTTTGTGTCAATTTACACCTCCGGTCGCCCAAACAGTATTGTTCCAGTGATCATAGGGCGGTAGGCAGGTAGTCAAATTTACCTCAACAAGAAGCTACATTATACTAGAGAATGACCGTTTTTTATCACACACGAATTCTCAGCTGACACATGCTGAGCCGTTGAGAATGATTCATACAATAAAAATATAGGACACATACACGAACTTGAATCACAAGTATGCCTCTTACCATTGAATAGACATTTTAGTCACGTGGCAGAAAAGACATATCTGGACATCTTAGGTCTCGTGATCTTTAGAGACAATTGGACACATAAAAGACCCAATACTAATCTTAGAGGGCGCGAGCAGCCATCACTTAATCTCATATATGAGTCTGAGACTCAATAAATGATCAATAGGGTCACGGAAATTATTCTCATAAGTAAAAAAGAAATTCCAAGTTATAAAGTCATCTAAACCAGCACCTTAAGACGTAATAGGAGCATTCTATTATCCATAAAAAACACCAAGAAGCGCTATTGGACATGTAACAACTGTATTCAACCTAGAGCCACACATGGGTCAGGGGTTTGAAGTCGGCGAACGACTCATCTAGATCCAGTTACCTCTCACTGAGAGTGGGTGACTAACCATCCAGCGGAGCACTGCATAAGAGAAGTATTAGCGCAGGTTAGTGCGAAGGCTTATCTATGCAACTTAACATGGATGTAACTTTTCCTGACAGCATACTGATGGAAAAAGCAAAAACCCGGCCTAGATGACTGATGTATATATACTGCGTATAGAACAAAGACAAAGCTTAAGAATGTCACACCAAACAAACAAATGCAATACAACACAGAGTTATTCCCATATATTCATTGGTCTAAATATAATACCAAAAATCACTTCTCCATCGCGAGATAAATAAATCAATTATTAGTTTGCGTTGCAGCGCCTAAAAGTTTGTATAGTACACACAAATCTTAAACAGCATATTAAAAGTGTTACAAATGATCATTTATATCTAAGCGTACAAATTATACAGCTATCAGAAATTGAAACTAACTCTGAATAATTGATCAAATTGATTGCGCGATAGGAAATTCTACAATGGTGCGAAATTTGAGCGGTTCGAGAGTTCAAGCACTAAGAAGAATAGATTGAAATTATGGTTTTTCTTGCGAGAGGAAGCCTCGAGACATACTAATATTATTATGGCTGAAGAGCATGTAATAGACAATTTTCCAGCGTGAAAGTTGGTAATTATCAAAATAATGAGCAGGGACAATACATTTATCATAACACATGTAAAGCGAGCATGTGACAATTGACTTCTGCCCTAGTAACCCATACAAATTCAATATTGATGGCGTCCAAGGTCAAGGTCACTAAACGTGTTATTGACTATCAGAAAAGAGATAAATTATGAAGAACTATTGTATATTATACCACTCAAAAGTATATCTTACAGATATATTGGGATAATCAATACGATGGCTAACACCACAACACGGACATAACAGACAGACTACAAGCAATCGAGAGAACCAAATTGAGGCACAAGAAGGCGGACAGAGCGGGTGTATCTAATA